AATGGATGAAGTATAACTTTTTGTTTCATTTGATTGATTTGAGAGAAAGAGTGAGAGAGAGAGAGAGAGAGAGAGGAAGGGAGAGAGAGAAACATTGATTTGTTGTTCCACTTACTTATGCATTCATTGGTTGATTCCTGTATGTGTCCTAACTGGGGATCAAACCTGAAACCTTGGCATTACAGGATGATGCTCTAACCAACTTAGCTACCCGGCCAGGGCTAAAATATAACCTTAAAAAAAATAAGCGGACATTTATGTTGTTTCTAATTTTTTAACTATTTCACTTAATGGTGCTTTGAGCATTCTTCCCCCCCCCCTCTTTTTTTTCTTAATTTAAATTCTTTATTGATTAAAAATATTATGTAAGTCTCCTTTTTCCCCCATTGACCTTTCCCCGCCCGCTCCCACCCCCCAGCACATGCCCTCATCCCCCTACTGTCTGTATCCATTGGTTGTGCTCGTATGCTCATTGAGCATCCTTGCAGCTGCCTTGTGTATAGGTATGGAGAAGTGGAATTTCTAGGTCATTATGTTGTTACTAAGGTTTTTGTGGGGTTTTTTGGTTTAATAAAGTTTTATTTTTCAAAATGTACAGTTGGTGAGACCTGTTGTTCCTGCATCTTCACCAACAGCTGGGGCATCCACACATTTGGTGTTTCTGGTATAAATTACTTGAACTCTGTGCTTTGAAACTAGTTTAATAAGTCCTTTACTTAAGACAAGGGTGGGGAACCTTTTTTCTGCCAAGGGCCATTTAGATATTTATAACATCATTCGCAGACTATACAAAATTATCAGCTTAAAAATTAGGCCGCTATATTTGGTCAAACATTTAATTAACTCACCCCTAATGCCTTGGCAGGGCCAGACCACATGATTTCACTTGATGTTCCCCACCCCTGATTTAAGGAGCTCCTGAAGGGTTACCCTGGCCAAGGAGCCCAGGATCTTCATTCAGTTTCTGAGAGACAACAGCTGAGGGTTATAGTTGGGAACAGCTTGAGCTTATAGTTGGGAACTTCCTTTCAGAGTTTGTCATACGTTGCTTTGTCAGACAAAACTAGGTTATTGAGGTTGTCCCGAACTTTGTCTTTGGGTCACGTCTTCTTTTTGGCCTTGCCCCAGATTTGTTCACTGAGTCTTTGTCTTTCTTGGCCGATGTTCCAGCATCTTTCTTCTTGTCGTCCTTGGGCAGCGTCGCACTGGAAGAGCACCTGCTACCACTGCTGCCTCGATAAGAGCCGTTGTTACTAAGTGTTAATTGCTAGGCCCTGGTTGAGTAGCTCAGTTGGTGAGAGCATTGTCCCAATACGCCAAGGTTGCAGGTTTGATCTTGGGTTAAGGGCAAGAAGAATTGCCTTTCTTATTTATGCATTCATTGGCTGGGTCAAGAAGCAGCCAAATGCATAAATAAGTGGGACAACAAATCGATGTCTCTCTCTCTCTCAAATCAATGATGATAAAAAGTTTCAGTAGCTCTTGCCAGTTCTCACTGAGAAGACTTGACTGGTGTTCTCCAACTCAAGGCCACTCTCCCCCAAACCCTTGCTCATACTTTATGTTGTAAATCTTTAAATTTTTTGCCAGTTACTTTTGTATAATAGACGTTAATATTCATGTTCTTTAGAAAACTCTGTCTTCATTCTTTTGCTTTTTAACATTGTGAAGTAGAACGCAAATTGCAGAAAATAGCATGCGAGGTGCTTAAAAAGAAATATTTAAAAATTTTTCTGATTATAAAAAGTTAAAAGTTCTCCATAATTTCACCCTCCAGTGATAGCCACTGTTAACAGTTTGACATCTATTCCATTTTGATTTGATTTGATTTATTTTTTAGTTAACATTCAATATTATTTTATATTTGTTTCAGGTGTACAGCATAGTGGTTAGATTCATTAATTTCTTTAACTCATTCAGGTCCAGGTCAGTACTTGGATTGTCAGGACATACTTGGATTTGAATGCTGGCTCTATTATTTTCTATCTGTGAGACCTTGGTCAAGTCACTACCCTTATCCAGACCTCGGTTTCCTCACCTGTTGTGGCACTTGTATACAGTAGGGCTGTTCATAGTGTTATAACTTGGCATTCAGTAGAGAGTGTTAACTATTACTACTGATGATTGTTATTACTTTCACTGTCTTTGCTTAGAAACCTCAGCCATGACACCTGCTCAGTGTGGGTACCGTGGTACCAGGGCCTGTGGGGAGGGGAGATTCATTGTGGAACCAGTGTTTGGTGCCTCTCTTGGAATCACTGAGTGTTAAATACCACTGGGTATCTGTCATCGGGCCAGAAAGTGGTGGAGTGGTGGTGGTTATAGGTATCCCTGGATGGGCCTCTGGGAATTAATCAAATTGTGTGTTTTATGTATTTTCTAACTTTTCTCCATGAAATATGTCCTACTTTTTTAAATGGTAGGAAAAAGCCCAGTAAGTGCTACTTTTAAAAAAACCCAAAAAACTGCTTGTAGCATTTTACATTTAATTGCCATTCTTTGGGGCCCATTCATGTCATTTCATACCTCGTGTAATTCTGCAGGTATTATTCCCTTTCTCTAAATGAGGAGATGGGTTCAAAGGCGAAACCTGCTTGAGCTCACACAACTAGTACAGGGCAGAGCTGGACTTTGGAGCTAGATCTAAGCTCTCTCACTGCCATGTTGCCTCTTGTAAGCCACAGGTTATAATTCAGGTTTTGGGAATGGTGAACCACACCCTCCCTGACGCTGCCTGGTTGATCTTCCATTTTCTGCTTTGTCTTTACATCCCACCATTTTACATTTTAATAGGTGGTGCCTAATTGTCTCTCAAAAATGTTATCCTTGCCCTGGTCGGTTGCTCAGTGGCTGGAGCAGTGGTGGCAAACCTTTTGAGCTCGGCGTGTCAGCATTTTGAAAAACCCTAATTTAACTTTGGTGCCATGTCACATATAGAAATTTTTTGATATTTGCAACCATAGTAAAACAAAGACTTATATTTTTGATATTTATTTTATATATTTAAATGCCATTTAACAAAGAAAAATCAACCAAAAAAATGAGTTTGCGTGTCACCTCTGACACACGTGTCATAGGTTCGCCATCACTGGGCTAGAGCATGGCCTGCGGACTGAAGGATCGAGGGTTTGATTCACAGTCAAGAACATATACCTGGGGTGCAGGTTTTTTGCCTTTCTTTTTTAAATATGTTTTTATTGATTTTTTAGAGAGAGAGGGATAGAGATGGAAACATCAATGAGAGAAACATTGATCAGCTGCCTCTTGCATGTCCACTACTGGGGATCAAGGCTGTAACCTGGACATGTGCTCTGACCAGGAATTGAACTGGGGACCTCTTGGTTCATGGGTTGATGCTCAACCACTGA